TGCTTTTGATCAAAAAGTCCATCCTCAGTTAAAAATTGCTTTATAATGACACATACCCAAATTAAAAATGGTGTCCCTATATAAAGAGTTTGAGCAGATTTTCACTGAAATTTTTAAGTTATGGCCATTTCAAGAAGTAGTGAATTTTTGAAAAAAAGCAAAGCTCATAGTTTTTTTTTTTCAAAGAATGGCCCCAAAATCACTCCCAATTTTTATTACATTTTAAAATACACATTGATGTCCTTATGCTATGTAGCAAGTTTGAGCTGATCTGGCTTAGATTTTTAAAGTTATGGTCATTTTAAGAAAACGTCAAAATTTTGAAAAATACCCAAGGCTATAGCCCATGGTTTTTTCTAAAAAATGGCTCCAAAAACATCCTAATTTTTATCACATTTTTTGATACATATTAATGTCCTTATGCTGTGTAGCAAGTTTGAGCTGATTCCGGCTTAAATTTTTTAAGTTACAGCCATTTTTAAGAAAACACTAAAATTCTGAATATTACCCAAGGCTATAGCCCATGGTTTTTTCCAAAAAATGGCTCCAAAAACATCCTAATTTTTATCACATTTTTTGATATATATTAATGCCCTTATGCTGTATAGCAAGTTTGAGCTGATTCTGGCTTAAATTTTTTAAGTTACAGCCATTTTAAGAAAACACTAAAATTCTAAAAATTACCCAAGGCTATAGCCCATGGTTTTTTCCAAAAAATGGCTCCAAAAACACCCCAAATTTTTATTACATTTTCTGATACATATTGATGTCCTTATGCTGTGTAGAAAATTTGAGCTGATTTCGACTTCAATTTTTAAAGTTATGGCCATTTAAAGAAAACACTAAAATTCTGAAAATTACCCAAGGCTATATATAGCCCATGGTTTTTTTCCAAAAAATAGCTCCAAAAAAACTCCAAATTTTTATTACATTTTCTGATACACATTGATGTCCTTATGCTGTATAGCAAATTTGAGTTGATTCTGGATTAAGTTTTTTGAGTTACAGCCATTTTAGGAAAACACCAAAATTCTGAAAGATACCTAAAACTAAAGTTTGAGCCATTTCCGACAAATATGAGGAATTTTTAAAACTAGCCAATTTTTGAAAAAATAATGCTTAAAAAAATGGCTCCAAAATCACTCCAAATTTATTACAGTTTTGATGTTCTTGACTTGTAATTTTTCATTTGCATTTTTAATTTTAGCAATTCATTTAGCACCCTGAATATAAATTATCATAATTGCATTATTATTATTATTAGGCATCTCGGTCAAGATATACTGCTGCTGGTTTACCAATAGAGAGCATTGAAGTGCTAAATCCATCAATGACTCCTACACCTACAACCAGCCCTACTGATGATGAGGGACTTTCTGCTGGAGAAATAGCAGGAATAGTAATAGGATCAGTGATTGGAGCACTCCTTCTCATAATAATACTTGTCATAATCATCTACTGCATATGGTAAGTGTCATTTCCGTTTATTTTGCATTATTTTCATGATATCATGCATATTTTAGTAAGAGGTTTAGAGGGACTGGTCGTTATGCTTTTGTCGAGAAAGGGATCCCTCCTAAAGTTCAAGATGATGACTTTACTGTTCAAAACGTGTACTACGAACCTAGACCTCCTAGCCCTGATGAAGGTATGAGGTTTGAGAGCATAGAAATGAGAACTTGAGAGTATGGGTATGGAAATTAGAGAATATGAATAAGTGACCTTCAGAGCATATGATGATAAGACATGATGATATAGTATGGACCATTTATTAGGTTCAGTTCACAGTATGAAGTTGAAATTTGCTCAAGAATCTGAGAGCAGTGGAGGAGAAGATGATGATAATGATGCTGAAGGATCTGATGAAGGGCAAAAGGAGAAGAAAAGAGTCAGCCAGGCTGCTGGTGGCTTGGAGAAGGAAATGCTTGAGATGTCCGAAGAGACCCATCTCTGATGACAGTTTTATTTAATTAATAGATTAATAATCGTAAATATTTTGCCATGCATGCATGTACTAGTCTGTGTCTACTGTCAGAGATTTAGTTTAATTTAATACTATATCATTTTCATTTTTATTTTTAAGAACCGCCGATCAAAATTAATCTTAGTCCAAAGGCTATTATATAAAGCAAAGAGCATGACTATGGGAGGAATTTTATTCGCGATTCCTGATGTTCAATAGTTACATGCTCTTGTGCTGTGTAGAAATTTTGAGCTAAAAATAGACTGATTTTTAAAGTTGCTCAAAATCTAGTTAAAGTCCTTGTACATAGCGGTACCAAGAGTACATAATACCTCAATGATGGTACATACAGTGTAACCACTGTGAGGACACCTTTATATTGAGGACATTTCATAAATACCCCAATTTGTATAAACTTATACAAAAGTGCCCCCGAAATGAGGACACCTCGGTATTAAGGACAGGTAGTGTGGGCCCAACGGTGTCCTTAATAAAGAGGCTACACTGTACATGTATTAAGGACAGGTAGTGTGGGCCCAATGGTGTCCTTAATAAAGAGGCTACACTGTACATGTATTAAGGACAGGTAGTGTGGGCGTCCTTATAAAGATGCTAGTGTGCAGTGTACATCAATCCTCATTGTTGAATGACGTTCATTAGTATACTTAAACTTAAATATGGCGCATCAATTTAAAGCTCCAATCATCAATCATCATTCAATACCAGTTACAAAATATAAACTGGTATGATCTACTGCGTCATATAATAACTGGAACAATAACAATAACAAAATATGTCAATATAATCACAATAGTATATACACATACACATAGCTGTAAAATTATCACCAATCAGTCAATGAATCACAAGTAAAATGAATAAATGTACACAGGAAATTCCAAAAACAAAACAGCACATACACCTTTATAATAAGGACACTTTTATACTTAGTTATTACAAACCTATACAAAGTTCCTATACCTCTATATTAAGGACAGGTAGTGTGGGCCCAATGGTGTCCTTAATAAAGAGGCTACACTGTACATGTATTAAGGAGAGGTAGTGTGGGCCCAATGGTGTCCTTAATAAAGAGGCTACACTGTACATGTATTAAGGAGAGGTAGTGTGGGCCCAATGGTGTCCTTAATAAAAAGGCTACATTGCAGGTTCTCTTGAATCAATATAAAAACACTATACAGTATTATACTAACAATGGTTTGTATGGGAGACATGTTACAAATTGTATGCTTTTATGAGAACAATTGAAAACCTTTAATAGATGTAATACACAGCCAGAAGTGTCAACTACAAAACTACATGCATTACTTAGTTCTGTCCTACAAGTATTAGTTAAAGCACAGCTCCCAGTGCTGTATTTCCCATACAGGACAGGGGGAACCGTGCTTTAACTAGTTTATGGTCATAGTGCATGGGTGCATCAAAGGCATCAGCCCCAGGCTAAGTGAAAAATAGCCTAAAGATAACCAAATGAGACCACATTTGGACTATCTGCTTGTGGAATCTTCTACTTCATGCTGCTCTATCTAATAGGGGGGCGGTCACAGTTTATACAACATGAAACCAGAAACTGTGCTGTATCGACTGTATAAGATATACAGCACAGGCGGTGCCTTTGATGCACCCACACACTATATATGCTATACTATAAGTACATGTAAACAAACTTTTAAATATAAACAAGCATAACGGTGTAAAAAATACCTGTAATTCATTTCACGACTTTGCATGTACAGCTGGGTCCTTATTAAAACTTACAGAGGTTCTCTCTACCTTCTAATGCTTCAAGAGAGGTCTTGAGACAGTATCTAACTGGTATTAAAACATAATAATATCAAAGGGCAGTGAGTCTCAACATATTTCAAAGTAAATAAGTAAAGTTTGTTGACATACTCTGTCATGCCAACACAAAGCCCTGCAACTACATGTACACATACATACATCATTACAGAAAAGAACAGCATATTGATGCCCAAAGAATTTCAAATTTGGCTGTATACATGCAGCTGCAGGCAATAATGTGTTTACTTTAATGACTCAAAAAGTCTTGCAATGTACTGAAAGTCAGCATAGTCTCCACTACCAGCTGCTACTGTGGTATCATTGACTTTCAATAGTCTGGATAGATCTTTGTACTGACCTGACCAAAGAGCCACATATGAACATGAAAAAGAGAAAGAAAAAGGGAGTGAGAGAGAGGGATAAAAGGACTTTACTATCTTAGAATACAAATAGGAGGTTATTACTATTTTATAGCCGCATAGTTTATAGGTTATTGTAGAGACAAAAGGAGTTTACTATTGTTGCATATAAAGGTCAATGCAAGTATGACACATAGACAGCAAAAGTTATACTCTCTCCCTCTCTTTCTCTATTACCTAGTGTATCAGCTGCTAACAATACTGCTATCAGAACTAAGAACAGCTGAGTTACAATTGGACACCTAAAAATAAATAAATACATTAATGTACTGTACATAAATCTCGACATAAATACATGTACACGTGTACAGCAAGAGGATCACTAGCCAAATAAAACATGTAAAATCCATCAGTCGCCATTTTTACACGTTTACAGCAAATAAAATGTGATCGCGTATCACGCGATTATTAACAGGGCGTGGTCCTTCACGCAGCATATATAATCATTGATAACTTGCAGAATCACTCTTTCTAACCATAACCCAACTGCGAAAAGCTGCCCAGGGCATTCGCAGGAGGAGAAGAGAACGTGATAAAAATAAGAAGGGCTAATAGTCTTAGAAGGCCAAGGAATTTGTTGTCAAAGAGCCAGCAAATGTGAGTTGCAGCTGCCACAGACAGTGCCATACTGGCACAGACCCTGTGTGTCACTGAAGTTACATGTGATAAATTTATGAGTATTTTGTAATGACCCCTAAACAGGAAAACATTACCTGATTGAGTAGCTTGGTGTATATATACTTGCAGTCAGTACTGTGTCAGACAGCTAATTTAAATTATCGGCAGCCCATGCATGGTATACAGTGTTATGATGACTTAAACCCCTTCCTACTCACCTGGCATTTATACAAGTTTTTGCATGTAGTATGACCTAATGGCAACATGTAACTTTAATCGCTCCAAAGATTACCTTAAATAGTATTATCTATTATGAACCATGGCATATCATTTTACAAAGCATACCAAGCAATGCTTTAATTATGGTAGCCAAGTGAACAAAGAAAGCAATCAATTATAGTACTAAACAACCTGCACTTGAAGGTCATTTGTTTACAATGTGGAAGTCTATATGCCCCTTTGCTTGTATTGTGAAAAAACTTTTAGAACGTGTTACCATAATTCACACGTAGCCTTAATGATGCGTCACTAAAATCATTGTCAATGCATGTGCTCATCATGTTTTCTGACAACACAGCAGTGAAGTGTTTAATTTTTTAAAGTATTACTCAGTGCAACATTGTCTATACCATCTATGGTAGCAATATGTGTAACGTGATCATGGGTCATATCAAGAGTATATAGTTGCGAACTGCATAATTTAGTATAAATATTGATAAAATACAGGTAATGCCGATGATAGATGCATAGAGTAGCCCCTGATTTATGAGTATATGTAACTGTAACACAGTTTTTTGTGTATATGTATGTGAGGATTCACATTAAATTGTTGTCCCTCTCAATGAGATAGGTGTAGTGTTCGTGTGATACCTGCATGTGAGCCACAACAATTTCATTGCATTATTATTTTTGGTTAAGAATAATTATCATTGCAATCCATAGACCACCATTAATACAAGCTATGCATTTAGTCTACACTCTTGTTATAAATAATAATTTTGATGTAATCATTGTCATGTATATATACTTATAGCATAAGGACATCAATATGTATCAAAAAATGTAATAAAAATTGGGGGTAATTTTGGAGGAGTTTTTTTTTTAACCATGGGTTATAGAATTGGAATATTTTAAAAACGGACTCTAATCCACTCTCATGGCTAATTTTCTCTTTGCTTTGTTTATAGATGGATTGGCTTAAGTGTTTAGTTCTGCTTTATACCGTAGCTATAGTGTCAGCTATTATCAGTCATAATAATAATGGTTCAGGCAGTGACAGTAGCAGTGGCTTTGGTAGTGGTAGTGGTGATGATGATGTTATGGATTCAGAAGTACCATCAGAAACAGGAACATCTTCATTTGTAATACCTTCAGTAACAATTGCTACATCAATTACCCTAGCGACAACACCATCAATGTCCATATCTACAAGTATGTCTGCATTAGAATCAATGCCTTCACTAGTAGAGGAACCTAGTGCACCAGTAGATGCCACAGAAACATCTTCATTTGTAATACCTTCAGTAACAATTACTACATCAATCATGCTAATGACAACGTCACCAACATCTGTATCTACAAGTATGTCCACATTAGAATCAACACCTGTAGGGGAGCCTAGTACACCAGTAGATGCCACAGAAACATCTTCATCTGGAGAAGTAACAGAAACTTCTTCATTTGTAATACCTTCAGTAACAATTGCTACATCAATTATGCTAGTGACAATGTCATCAACTTCTGTATCTACAAGTATGTCCGCATTAGAATCAATGCCTTCACTAGTAGGGGAACCTAGTACACCAGTAGATGCCATGGAAGCTTCTTTATTTGTGGAAGTTACAGAAATTTTTTCATTTGTGGAAGTATTAGAAACTTCTTCATTTGTGGAAGTAATGGCAACACCTTCATCAACGGTATCATCTAGTACACCTACAGGAACATCTTCATCTATGGAAGTAACAGGAATGTCATCATCTGTGGAAGTAACAGAAACTTCTTCACCAATAGTAATAGCATCTAGTACACTTATAGATGCTCCTGAAACATCTTCATTGGTGGAAGTAACAGAAGCATCTTCACCAATGGCCACATCTAGTATACCTTTAGATGCTCCTGAAACATCTTCATCTATGGAAGTAACAGGAATGTCATCATCTGTGGCAGTAACAGAAACTTCTTCACCAATGGTAATAGCATCTAGTACACTTATAGATGCTCCTGAAACATCTTCATTGGTAGAAGTAACAGAGGCATCTTCACCAATGGCCGCATCTAGTATACTTTTAGATGCTCCTGAAACATCTTCATTTATGGAAGTAACAGGAATGTCATCACCTGTGGAAGCAACAGAAACTTCTTCACCAATGGTAATAGCATCTAGTACACTTATAGATGCTTTTGAAACATCTTCATTGGTGGAAATACAAGAAACATCTTCACCAATGGCTGTATCTAGTATACTTTTAGATGGTCCTGAAACATCTTCATCTATGGAAGTAACAGGAATGTCGTCATTTGTGGAAGCAACAGAAACTTCTTCCTCAATAGTAGTAGCATCTAGTACACCAGTAGAGATACCAGAAATGTCTTTATCTGTGGAAGTGACAGAATCACAAGACGTGCTTCCTTCATCGACAGATGTTTTAGAAATATTTTCATCTACGGAGGTAGTCACCTCTTCATCTTTAACTGTTGATATCACAGAAATATCTTCATCCACTGAGGCAGTCATATCTTCATCATTAACTGTAGACGTCACAGTGATGTCTTCATCAATGGAGGCAACAGAATCAGAAGAAGTGCTGCCATCATCTGTCCCTGTAGAAGCAACAGAAACTTTTTCCTTAGAAGTAGCATCAAGTATAGATGTTGCTTCAATTTTAGAAGCAACAGAAACTTCTTCACTAGTAGTAATATCAACTACATCTATAGATGCTACTTCATCTGTGGAAGCAACAGAAACTTCTTCATTAGTAGCAGTAGATTTTTCTACTACACTTGTAGATGCTACTTTATCAGTGGTAGCAACAGAGTCAGTAGAAGTGCTTCCATCATCATCAGTAGATATTTTTCCAGAAACATCTATTGAAATGTCTTCATCAATAATTCCAACAGAAACAATACTTTCATCATCAGAAGTATCAGATTTTACATCTTCATCAATGATTGCAACTACTCCAGTAAGCACTACAACAATGGCTCCTCCT